GTGGCGATGCGTGTCTCTGGGGTGGGGTTCGTCATGGTCCAGAACCGCCGCTACAGTGATCGTGGAGGGGCAACAGGAGGACACTAAATCCCCTCCACAGCACGGACGGAGGTGGTTAGGTTGTGCTGGATTGTCACCAGAGACAGGAGTGATCGTTCTCACTCGAGGGCCCTGAATGCCACTGTAACTTCCTCGTCCGTCCTGCTCCTTCTACCAGCCCGACCCCCACCCCCCCAGGCAATAGAAGACCTTACCTTAGGTACATTGCTTGCCCGGACGGGGCAACTCTGTCTGGCCAAGTACCGGGCGTAAACAGAACCCCCCTCCACCTTCCCCTTACCTGCCCGACATAAGCACCCCCCGTCCCCTTCCTCCCCCATCGTCTTCTGCTGCAGGTGCCTCCCAAAGTGAAGGTCCGCATCGCCTCGAGTGCCTCCTCCATAGCAAACAAAGTTCACACTATGACGGAGGATGGCTGCTTTTTCTCCATGCTGGCCCTTCTCCCCTTGACGCGGAATGCAAGCCTTTCCCACCCATGCTTCCCGCGCCCTCTGATTTCTCAGCTCTGCTTGCCTCCGCCTGCTTCTTCTTCTTCCTCCTTTGTCTTACCCAACGGTACCTTCACCTACCTAGGTAGTCACACGCATCTGACGTTCCATGAGGCGTGAACTAGGGTTGATCTGAGCGAGCTCGAGTCAGTTTCTTTCTGTTTTCGTCACCCGTCAATTCCTCACTTGTCTCGCTCCGACATCTTTTTTCCGCATCTCTTCCTTCTTCGTTGCTTCTGGCCTCGTTACACAAACACACACGCATCCATCGAACAAAGTCATTGCTTGCTGTCTTGTTGCTTCGCCCAGACGCCGCCGCAGCGCCAGCAACAGCAACAGCACCATCACCACCACCACCTCCACCGCCCAGCCCGTCCCGCCGTGTTCCACGGAAACCCCCCCCCCACCTGGGTGCTTCCAGTTCGTCTCCACGACTTTGATCGATAACACCGCCCGTGTGCCACGCCGTTCTAGACCACAATTCTCATCAACGGGTCAACGCTGCTGCTGCCACCACCGACATTGCATAGCAACCGGGAAGACGAACAAGCGATCGCGTGACACTGAATTGGCCCAAAGCCTGTACTGTACATACCACAGCAAACGCCCGCTCACATTCGGTACCCTAGTCCGCTTCTCAGCGTCTTGACGTACATACATATATACACACCCACACGCAGTCCGCACACACAATAGACTTGACGCATCGCGGATTGGCGTCCAATTGCTCACGTCCTAGCTCTACCGAACAGGCGTCGCACCGAGATCGCGACTGGAGTGCCGCCACCAGAACCCCTCTGGCCGTGCAGCTGGGGCCGAGTCAGCCCCTCCGCCGGCTAGGTCTGGACCGCTGTGTCGCATTTGTTCGTCTCCTCCTCGCATCGTCCTCAGTGACCAGCCAGGACTCGTGCTCTTCGACACCATGCGCTGCTGTTGAAACGCACCTCTTGCGACATTCAACTACGCCCACGACGCCAGCGATATCTTCAGAGCCCTCCAGTTGCCAGCTGCAACTGCCCTCTTTCGACGCGACCCTCTCCACCACTGCAGCCCCGGCGTCACCACTGCATTCAATCACATGCCTCGCCGGCGAGCACCAGAATGGTTACACTTGACTCCATGCCTGCCAGCGACCATGGCGGCCGAGGCCACACCTCTGCTCTCGCATCCTCTCTCCCTAGCAAGACACCTCCGCCGGCCATGATCCCGGAGGCGCGAGGCGCATCGTCACACAGCTCTGACGCCCGCCCAACACCCACCTCGAATCCTGAGCAGTCTGATGATGTCCCCGCTATCCTATCGACGTCCGCCAACCGCTTCTTTCGCAACAACCCCCCGAGTTTCGCTACCGGCGACCAGCGATCACAAAACTCCAGCCCCTTCCGTCTCTCGATGCCCTATGTCACGCCGGGCCAGCTCGCCTTCTCCGCCATGCAGTATCTCCCCGTCCCGTTGCTGGTCCTCAACAATCTCAAAACCGTCGTCCTCGCCAACGAAGCCATGGGTCGCATGCTGGGCTTAGAAACAGATACTGCCGACGATTCATTTCATGCGCTCGAGAAGCTGCGGGGTCAGTCCCTGTCTCAAGTTGGAATTGACATGCTGCAAGATGGCCGACCGGTGTGGGTGGTGTGGGAATCGTTCCTTGACTCCTTGGTGCTGGAGATGGGCTCGCGACACACGTCCAAAGACGCAGCTGCGGCTGCCGACTTGATGGACGGGGAATCCACACCGACTACCGATGCCAGGCCATCCCCTACGACAGGACACCGCAGAGATCCCTCAGCCAGTCCCGTCAAAGATGCTGCGGTAGATGTCGTCATAACGAAAAAGGATATTGGAAGGCCAGGATTTAAGCCCCGGGGCTCGACGCAAAAGTCCGACTATGAGGTGTACGCGAAGATGATTGTTACCATTTGGGAAATCGAAGACAACCAAGTCTACTTCACCCTCTCTTTTACCAGCACACAATCACCGCCTGCCCCCTTACCCTTGAGCAAGGCGGTGGCCAAGTCTAATCTCTTGGATGCTGCTGAGCGCAAGACCATATCCAACTCCAACCCTCCATCCGTCAGCTCCAGCCACGACTCCAGCTCACCGTCTTTCCGGATCAGCCCGAGTGCAGTCTCCTTATCATCGAATACATTCCCTCCCATGGGCCCACCCTCCAATGCGGCGCATGCAAGCGCGCCCTCCATCCTTCAAAAGATGATCTTGATGAAGGACGCACTCCTGGACAATACGCAGATGCCTATACTAGCCATGTGGAAGGATGGCAGTGTTTCTTTCCCTAACCGAGCTGCCCGTGACCTCCTACGCGAAGACGGCGACCTGGAAAAGTCCGTGGACGGATTTGATCTCCTGCCCGGATGGACGTGCTGGGATGAGACGTTCTCACGAGAGTTGGATGTAAGCGAGTACCCGATCTCCGTACTCCTCCAGACCGAAACGCCCTTCGCGAGCATGCGCGTCGGTATGCACAACAAGGCTGGCGAAAAGCTGCAGTTTGACGTTCTAGGTGAAGCCATAACCGACGATATCACGGGCGAATTCCTGGCCGGCGTGGTCACGTTCCGCGATGTGACGTCAATGGCTCAGGAGATAACAGACATCAAGGAACGAGAGGAAGAGCGTTTTAAGCTCATCTGCGACACGATGCCTCAGTTGGTCTGGACTGCGACAGCTGAGGGCATGCCAGACTTTTTCAACACGAGGTGGTACACCTATACAGGCCTGACGCCTGAAACATCGCTAGGAGCCGCATGGCAGACCCCGTTCCATCCGGACGATCTTATGGAGACGACCGCGCGGTGGAAGCGCTCCATAGCGACCGGCGAACCCTACGTCACACAGTACCGATGCCGCAGCAAGGATGGCGATTGGAGATGGATGCTGGGCCGTGCGCTTCCCCAGAAGAATCGGGAGACAGGGGCCATTGAGAAATGGTTCGGCACGTGTACTGATGTTCACGAAAGTATCGAGGCCACACTAGCTGCGAAACGAACCAGGCAACAGCTCCTGAGCGTCCTCGCCCATGCGCACGTTACAATATTTACGGTGGACCGTGATCACAAGCTCACAATGCTGGAGGGCGCGCTCATCTGGGATCTGAACGACGGGGATCCTACCCGTGATTCCAGCTGGTACATTGGCGAAGACATGTACGATGTCTTCAATCGTCTGAACACACAACTGGCACCCGGCGAAGAACCAAAGTTCCTGCGGCCCATCGAGGGAATTCTGGATGGGAAGCAGCGAGAATTGGTCGAGGAGCACGGCATTGATGGGCGTTGGTACCGCACACGTTTCCTCCCAGTGCCCGGAAAACGAACCAATGGAGCCAACGGATCACTGGAGGCCTGTGTGGAAGGTGCCATCGGCGTTGTGATGGACGTGACCGAGCTGAAAGAGAAGCAAACCAATCTCGAAGAGGAGTTCAAGGAGAAGAAACAGGCCATGGCGAATGCAGCAGCGGCTAAAGAGGCCAACCGCCTCAAGAGCCAGTTCCTGGCGAATGTAGGTGGTCTCCCTGCGTGGCGCCCCCCCCTGCTACCCCTTTGCTATACTAACACCACCTCTTCAGATGTCCCATGAGATTCGAACGCCCATCACGGGAGTCATTGGTATGGCCGAATTGCTGCAAGATATGAAGCTCGACTCCGAACAACGCGAATATGTCGAAAATATCCAACGATCTGCAAACGCCCTCTTGACGGTGATCAATGACATTCTCGACTTTTCCAAAGTGGAATCGGGCCGCCTAGACATTGAGGAAGTCCAATTCTCGCTGTCTGTAGTGCTCAAGGATGTCAGCAAGATGCTCAGCTTCGCAGCCGAGCGTAAGGACCTGGCATTCCTCTCTGATGTATCGAGAGAAATTACCAATGACATGGTCGTGATCGGAGACCCTGGACGAGTGCGGCAAATCGTGACGAACCTCTTGACGAACAGTATCAAGTTCACGAACCAGGGCCACGTCAAGTTCAGCGTCAAGAAGGAGAAGGAGACGCACGACTCAGTCATCATTCGATTCACGATCGAGGATACTGGTATCGGCATCGAGGAGGAGGTTCGCAAGAAGCTGTTCCAGCCCTTCAGCCAGGGTGATGCGTCGACTGCCAGGCGGTTCGGTGGCACCGGTCTCGGCCTGACCATTTGCAAGAACCTGTTGGAGCTCATGCGCGGCAAGATCACGCTCGAGTCGGACCTGGGCAACGGAACCACGGCCACGTTCTGGATCCCGTTCAGCAAGCCTCAAGGACCACAGAGAGGAGGTGCCCTTGTCGAGATTGATGGCCTCCCGAGCAGATTACAGTCAGAGATGAGCATGTCATGCAACAGCTCGGACTACGAACAGCTTGTCGGTACTCCGCCCATGGCATCTGAAACCGGGCTTTTGATGCCGGACACGACCAGCTCACCACAACGCCAACGATCTCTACGAGCCTCTCCAGGCCAAGAGGAGGATCTTCCAGCCTCGGAGCGTTCCAAAATCCATGTGCTCGTTGTTGAGGATAAGTAGGTCGCACGTTGCTCGAAAAGAGAGACGAATGCTAACATGATCAAGCGCAATCAACCAGCAAATCGCGACTAAGACAATCATGAAACTAGGTTTCAGCGTGGTTGCTGTGTGGAACGGCAAAGAAGCTCTGGACTATCTCGTTGCGGCCCAGCAGGGCAAGAAGACAAAACCCGACATCATACTTATGGATGTCCAAATGCCCGTGATTGACGGCTACAAATGCACGCATCTGCTTCGAAGGCACGCCCCGTACAAGACTTTCGTCAGCGACATCCCCATCGTAGCCATGACGGCATCGGCGATTCAGGGCGACAGAGAGAAATGTAGAAAGGCTGGCATGGACGACTACCTTGCGAAGCCAGTCAAGGGAAAGACGCTGGAGCGAAAGCTCGTACGGTGGAGTCTCACCAAAAGGAAGAGCCCACGGCTACGGGGAGAGATTGCTCTATCAACCTCGGACTGTTCTGACACTGCGGAGCATTGCAGTAACGCGGACATACCATGCGTCGGCCTGGACGATGGCCCCAGGGGAGATAAAGACGCTCCCGGCCAGACACAGGACGCAGCGAGCACCGCAGGCCAGGCCAGTCATGTCGCCGATGCCGGCGTGGTGGACAGCAAAGTGCGGGCTCTCGAGGAAGAGGGCCGTCAAAGTCCGCTGACGCCAAAACCCATGTCCCACAACGGCCACGAGCCTTCACCTTTCGATTCGCCGGCGGCCTACGAGAACATCAAACCGATCCGACATTCGGACACAGAGGAAATGGTGCTGCAAGCACAGGCCGGGAAAATGATGGAGGCGGCCGGGGGCAGGGAGCAACCGCCTCTGAGATCGTCCTCGTTCCGAGCCCCTGAGGCTAGGGACTCGCTGACGGAAGAGAACGTGGGACGCCTCCAGGAGGAGGGTGGTCATCGGCGTTCCTAAGTAGGGCGGGGTTTGGCGTTCCGTCTGGTTCGGAGGCGGGGAAAAAAACAGGACGAATAAGGACCACCCTTCCAGTTTACTCATGCAATGTCCTGCTAGATGAGCGCTTTCCGACACAGACGAGGGATGCGATGTATTCGAGCCCGCCTCGCTTCGTCGGTCTTATTGACTGGCCCCATTTTTCAGCCCAACCGCGTCTCATATGGCTGTATGCTTCACTTCAGTGTACTTGGTTTTTTTTTTGTTCAATACGGAAAGCATTGCATGCGGGCAGGGCAGGGCACAACGCGACTTGAACTGGTCATGTTGCATTTTGGCATTTCGATCGGCGAATATTGGTCCTTTTCACTTGAAAGAAGATGTGTATAGCTAGCTAGCGCCTCGTCCTCTGGCTTTCAGAGCAGACTCATGATGCAGATAGACGAATTCGAATGACACGAACATTTTCAACGTACTCGTGTTCAAGGGGACGCGGCCGGCTGAGGGGGCATGCGTTTTGCGTGACGGAGCGTGTACCATGGTGGATGGCATGGTTCGTTTGCGCGATGACACAGTCGAAGCTGGCAGCGGGCTGTCCATCTGCTCCAGCAGGCTGATTGGTGAATTGATAAGATGGTGCCGCAAGACGGACCGTCCATGAGTGAAAAAGACGGACTGCCCGACTGACGTATATCCATGTACAAACTCCCTGACGAGCAGACCCAGGGTGTGGAAGCAAATTAAGTCTTCACAAGAACCAGTAACGCTATGCGGACGGCAGGCATCGCAAATTCAGGCTGGGCGCAGTTCGGCACAATATGCAAACCTCCTTGAGGGAATCACCATGACAAAGTGCGACCATGGTGCCGAGACTAGAAAAAGTATATGAATGGCAGATGATGCACCCGATCGATGCCTAAAATCGGTTGCACATTTCATTGTAAATGACATTGGCCCGCTGACGCTCCCAGGTCTCATGCTCGCTGTTTCGAGTCTCAAGAAAAAACCCCCATGATCCACACACAGACGACATAAAAAGACATCCCGCTCAGAAATGCTCCTTCCAGAAACGGAAGTTAACTTCAGGGATGGCGGCGTCCTTGCAAGCACCCTTGATATCTCGGGCTGGAAACCATCGTTAGCATGGGCTTCGTTGCATTGAGATGAGATGAATAACATACCGGCTGCGGAGGGGCCGCAGAAGTAGACACCAACCGTCGTCCGCATGCTGCCCTCAAGGCCGTTGAGGTAAGTGCGGTCGAGAATGCCATCGCGCATGGTTGAGAAGAGCTTGGAAAAGTTTGGCCTTCCAAAGTTGGTGCGGGACTTAAGCTCGGTGAGAGGATCGAGCTGGGCGCCGACCGAGTTAAGAACGATGTTCTGGGTTGTGTCCATGTCGAGCTTCTGTGTGAGATAGGTGTGGATCTTGAGGAACTCAATGCCGTTGCTGCCTGGTGTGCGTGCAGCCTCGTCGGATTGAGATTCGAGCGAGGAAAGGAGGGTCTGGAACCACTCAAAAGAGCCAGTGTCTTTGCAGACCCAAATAAATTCGACACGACGGAGACGGGTGGGAGGGTTGGGTCCGTTGCGCAGGTGCCAGATATTCTTCAGGATGGAGGCCCACGGCGTGACACCGATACCAGTGCCGATGAGAACGGCAATTTCATTGTTGAAGACGTCTTCGGCGGGCGCACCGTAAGGGCCGTCGATGCGGAGGCTAGGCATCTGCTGGCCGTTCTGCAGAGCCACCTCGTACATGCCCATGGGGTCGACGCCATCATACAGCTTAGACTGTGCAGCACCGGCGCCGACGGCATCGCCGAGAGCGCGGGTAAAGTCACCAACCTGGCGAACGTGGACCGAAACGTAGGGGTCAAACGGGCAAGAGGTGATGGTGAATGGGTGCCACTGGTAGTTGGAAATGCCAGGGACCTGAAGGAAGAGCCACTGGCCGGCCTTGTACTTGAAGGAAGGCTTGCTGAACTGGATCTCGACAACGTCGTATGGGTGGCGAACGACACGGGTAATCTTAGTCTCTCTGCGGGCCCGGATCTCACGGTACAGGCGCTCGATGAGGTAGAGGCCACCGCTCCAAAGCTCCCAGCGCCAGCCGAGATAACCGATGCAGTGCTCCCAGTAGTCCTTGCCGGCAAAGGGAGAGAAAGGGGCGGCGGTGTCGCGCACGAAGCAGCCGACCGTATGGGTATACAAGCCGAGGAGGAAGGGGATAAAGAGGTGATGTGTGTACCAAAATGTCTCGAAAGACTGTTGGCGAATACGAGAATGAGCAGTCGTGTACATCATGAGCATGCAGAATAGCATGATGTGGCCTGTAACGCCTCCAGCTTGCGCGTAGTGGATCTGGACTGCAGTCTCAGGACGAAGCTGGGCACGCTCGACATTGAAGAAGCTAAGCAGGTCAGCGAGGGTTGAAATCGCCACGAATGAACATCGCTTACTTGATATAATGAGCACCTGTGTGCAGCAGGGTGAAGAACACCATGGCATACGCCACCTGTCTGTGAAACCAGATGTTCTCATCTAGAGGTAGGAATCTGATCTTCGGCCGGATCCATCGCATGATGGTTCGGCAGACGGGGAGCAGGATCAATGTGCCGTCCACACTAAGCACGAGACCAGCACCTCTGGAAATCCACACGGAATATTTCAGTGTGTTGAGTGGCGCCAGCCTAGGCTCGGCAGCCTGTTTGTACCTGGAGAACACAGTCAGCCCTCCTCCTCCTTTACCATGGTCCCGAACGACGAAGACCTACCATCCAAAGGCAAAGATGCCCCAGTGCACACCCCAAAAGAGTATGTTGAACAGCATCTTCGTCGCAGTGAACTGCTTCTTGACCAGGGAAAAGTTGGCGAGAGGCATCTTGGCGGTTCGTTTTCGCGCTTCGGTCTCGAATGCTGATTAAGTGTGTCGTCCGGCGACAATACAACGGTGCTCCGAAATTGGTTCAACGAGCTAGGTATGCCCGAGCCTGAGTTTCCCACCAGAGCGCTTGAGCCGAGTATCCAACCAGGCCGTCCCGGTATCCTTTATCTTGCTGTCGAATTAAAATAAAAGTGTCGTAGAGAACCAAAAGCGCCCCAGCAATAACGGAAGTCCAGCCGAGTCGTAAAAGAGCGATCTGAGCCAGCAGCTGCGTGAAGGAATGGAAGGAATTCCGTCAGGCGAGGGTGTCGAAAGTTGGGTTGCGACTCTACTTCCTCACCACGTACTATGACGGAACACGAGAGAAGAAAAAGAATGCAGGAGAGGAGGTGGAGGTAGAGCAGAGGGAAAGAAAAAGGTCAAACGTATGAGACGCGGGGGTATAAGGTCATAAAAGAGGCGATGGATGAGACGCAAAGGCCGGGCTGTTTAGGATAACGGGATGGCAACCCAACGGGTAGACGCGATGCCGTGACTAGGATGCTAGGGTCCGACCTCGAAGATAATTGTTGATCTTGGAGCTGGTGCCGTGGTCCGGTGGTAGTGGTATCGGGGTATAACCAGATGGGTTGTGAGCAAGGGAGACAACCTTGGCGGGCTGACAAGTTGTTCGGGTGGCACGCAGGCATGGAGCTGCTTGGGCAAGCTATGCACAAGGTCCGACAGGTCGTTTGACGTGTGCTTGGGTCTGCTGGAGCAAGCGGGGCGCCAGAAAGGCGAGCCTGGTAGAGAGGAAACGACGATGCCTGTGAGGCCTGGCAGATCAGACGCAGGAGTTGGGGAATCGGGGTTTCGCAGCTGGATAGACTCGTATCAGCTAGCTTTGGACGAGCGGGAGGTGGTAGCGAGGCATCAGACGACAGGGCAATTGTGACAATGCTTGGCTTGAGTTGAGACGAGACGTGTTAGAGACGCTTTGACGGAGACGAGTCGAGGCTCTTGTGACGTTTCGTCGGTGACCAGGGGGGGTGGGGTGGTGTAGGGTCGTTTTGCGCCTGGGTTTGAGGCCTTGAAAGGCAAAATGTGGATTCCGTCAAGTTGGTCAAGTCGCACGATGCAGGAGAGAAAGACAATGTCGATCGTTGGTCATAGATCCAGAGGCATGGCTCCTGGAAGTTGGTGACAGAGAGACGGAGGCGGGGGATGAGGGTAAGAAAAGGGATATATTTGTCTACTACCCAGGTACTCTTGCCGCCGCCGAGCCGGCGAGGTCATTGTCGGAAAGAGCGAACATGAGAAGACAGAGAAGGTCCCAAGACCCAAGACAACGGCGATGCACCATCGCAATCGGTGAGTGGACAGCTTCAGTTTCGGATGCACGACGCTAGGCCTTCTCTGGACAGACCCACGTTGTCGGGCGCTTAACTGTGCCATGGCTTGGGGGCAGTGGGCCTGGGCATTGGGGTCACATCAGTAGATTGGTTGGTGGTCACTACTAATTGGGCAATGCGGTCGCTCCTGCGAACCTGTTGCTATTGCTGGCACATTATTGAACAGGGGGGGGAGTAGGCAGGTATTGACCTGGGCTGGACCTTCTTAGTCTTTCTGCCTCCTCTGCATCCTGACCCTTACCTATTTGCCTGGCCGCATTCATAGTACCTTATACAGACCTACCAAACCTTGAGGTGCCTGAATGACCGGCGCCATTAGTCCAAGAGGCGAGGTATCCCTCCTTTCGTGGTCGGGAGAGTGATGAAAAGAGAAGGGCCAGGTTCAAGATCCTAGTCAGGTCGCACCAGCTTGGTCCCTCCAGGTCCATGGTTGCGACCGCTTTGTTCCCCCTCGACCGCGCCAATGCAACTATACCGTCCAAACTCAACAAACGACGGTGCACCGCGAAGCACCTTCTCCCCCAGAATCTGGTCCACACCCCTGCAGTAGGAGAACCCCCTTGACCCCTGGCTCTCTTGACTCCTGCCACCCCTTGCCTGACATACCGTGGGTGCGAGGGGGAAACATGGGACTTTCTGTCGAAAAATGACCCTCCAGTGCCGAATCCACCAGCTCGGTCCAACAGCCCGCCGTCTCTCCTGCAGATGCCATCGCATGCATCCGCACGGCAGCAGCCACACCATGAGACCACCCACATGGCCATGACTTCAAAATCGTACGACTTTGTTTATAGATCGTCTGTCCATGGGACCATCGTGCTGATGGATGCCTTCCATCTAGTCTAAATATCCGATCTGCCCGCATCTTGATATTCTTATTCGAACTTTTTTGAAGCCTTCTCATCCTCCTGCCCTTCGACATTCGACGACCTTAATTCACGGTGCGATACACGAGACTGAGGAGACCATTCGCTCACCCACCTGTCTTCTACCCCTTGTCTGGATGGCCTCCCCCATACCAGGGCCCTGTCTCAGGATGTAGGATACGACTGGCGACCGAGGTCATCCAAGGCGGCGCCCTTCCACAGGAACTCGGCCCTTTTTCGTACGCACTCGCCCGGTAGAAGGACCTGGCATGTGCAGAAGCTGGCGCGGAGGGCGCGTCGCGGATTTCGGTTCCAACACCATCTTCGTCGCGCTGTCGCGTCTGGGCAACAGCGCCCGTCGCGGAATATCAGCTCGACCACGGACTGAAACAGCCCGATCTGGACAGGATCCACGGAGAGCAGTGCATCGTATGCAACAACAACCTGCAGGATTCAGGATATCACTGCCTGCTCATCGCTTACTCGAACATCGTCGTGACTTTTCCAAGGCGCCTGGGCAGCCGCATTTCCTGGACACGAGTCAAATCTGACAGCAAGCTGTGTCTGACGCGTCCTGAGCGTCATCCGAACAACCGCTCATGCTCCTCCAGGACTTTAGGTTTATCCCCTATGCTATACCGAAAGTATTCTAGGCTTTAGATACGAGGCTCTTGACCTCGCGCCCAGGAGCTTCACCCCGCGCTCAGACGGTCTACGTCCCGGAGTCATGATTTTGCGTCGAT